TCCCTCCCCCCATACCCTCACCCCTGTTCTATGTGACCTCTGCCCCCAAACCCTCTAGTACAACAATCCTAGCCCTCACTTTCATTCCGTCTGAAGAAGAGCTAGTGTCACCAGCTCGAAAATTCACGAGGAAAACTCCATTTTCCGATGAGCCCTCTTTCTCCATAATATCCATATATCAGAAACTTCAATTTAAGGGTCAAAAAGTAAGTGTACATTATGGTTTAAACGTTCTGTCATTGGTTGATCCTGATAGAAGAGTAAAATTGGCAGCTCAAATATGATGATACGGTCTGTAGAAGGGCCTAACTATGCTCGTATGCCAAAATATTTATCTCAGATGAGCATTCTTAATAACGTTAAAATGAAAAATAACATTCAATTTCAATTTTTAGGTATAAATATCCCAACGAGAGCTCTCTTTAGTTGTTATAACTAAAATATGATTGGCCCACCGTATTCTCAACACAAGCCTCAGTCACCGACGCAGATACACATGATGTCTATACTTTTAAGCGCATACATGACACAATTACGGTCTATTCTCCCCCTTAGTGGATAAACAGCTTTCGATGTTAAGAAGTATAAAAAGAATCGCAAGAAGAACCGTAGATGATCAAAATATGGCCCAAACTCGTTGTAGGTTCATCCTGTACTCACAAGTAATTGGCCTAACATGTATCTGGGCTTTCACCTTGTTCGCATATTTAATGTAGTAGAAGAGAATTTGCTATGCAAATTAATGTTTTTATCTTTGTAGTTGGAATTCAATGGTTCTTGACAGAATTCGATAGTATTTAACACGAATGTTCGTAGCCAAGGTCTCAGAAGCATGTTCAGACCTCCTTGTGCTGACTGGCCACCTATGGCATCTAGCCTACCCACGATTCCCGGACTATTCACATTAAAAATTTAAAGGTCATATGATAAGCAAATTGTATGTAGATAGTTCTGTTACTATATAAATCTTTAGCGAAACAATATACCTAAAATTAATATGTATACACTTTTCTGGTGCTTAACTGTCAACTCTCTTGAATTATATCAGTGAGAGTTTTTTTCCTAAAATCCTAAATTGATGTATTTTAAAACGAAAGAGGGAAAGAGATAGAGCAAACAAGTCACCACTTACTGTCCTTCGCAGATCTTCTTCATCTTGTCTTGTAATTCCTGGAAGGTGGGTCGGCTGTCAGGATTTTCAGCCCAGGCCATTTCCATGACCTCCTTGTAGACTGGTGGTGCATCTGCTTCGCTAACCTACAGACAGGTAAATCAGGAAGTTGCTCCTAGTTATACTGCTAGCAGGAACTATGTCTTCATAAAGTTAGGGCTTCTTCGAGGGAGAAGTATGGTCAATAGTCGCCGCGTTATCGAAATTATTTTCGTTCGCATGCCCACTTAAAACCGCAGGGAACTGCTGTCTCCATGATTAAAACGCACTTTATATTGCAAAAGACATGAGTTGGTGAGATTAGGGTAAGAGTGTGAAGTATAGAGTTTGTGTGCGCTATAGCTCTCTCACGACTGTGAGATCAGAAACATCCTGCCACTTTAATGGCGCATTTTGTAGAGATCGGTTTGTGGCTGCCACGCGTAGAGGGTTAATGCAGTGAACTTCGCCGCAGATCATCCAGACTCAGATTTGCCAGCGGGCCAAGACTCACACAAACGCTGCACATATCTGCCATCAAGTATCTCTTGTCGACAAGTGTTA